GGATTTAACATGCATAATCAGCACGTTGCAAGAATTATTAAGGGAAATCTGATCTATGTTTAGAAGAGCATTATGAAGGCTCATCATTAGTATCTTCCAAATGACCCAGTAGTTAAAAAAACTACTAAAAGACAAACACAGAATTTGCTTTGGCTTTTTCCTGAGAAGCGAGAATAACAGAAGCTTCGCGTATCTGTGTCATGGGCGGTGCATTTGATTTGCCTTCTCTTTGATGGATTCAACTTTGAGACCGCGCTTTCCTAAAATTTGAGTAACAGGCTCGACTATTTGCACAAAGAGAGGCTCCATGGTGCTTTGGTGAAAGAAGTAAAAAGAGGAAAGCAATAAAGAACATCAAGGGCATAGTTACCGGGAATCCACCAACTTTTTTGGAAGCCTATTACTTCTAGGCTACAGTTAAAGTGGCATCTTTTGACCTTTTTGTTTGCAACATTTTTTTTTTTTTTTTTTGTCAAACACAAGGGTATCTTGACTTACATCAGACTAGTCCCTGCGATGATGCAGAGCTCGCCCAAAGATGTACCATACGTAGAGCTGTTAATCGAGCCGAGTCGAACTGAGTATTTGACTGCCGAGCTCGACTCGAGTTTAATTCGAGCCGAGCTCGACTCGAGCTAGTTAGGAAAACGAGCTTTAAAATGTGTTCGAACTCGACTCGTTAAATGTACATGTGGCTCGAGCTCGAGCTCGAGCTCAACTCGTTTATCACAAACGAGTCGAGCTTCACGAGCTCGAGCTCGTGCAAATTAACCTTAATAAAAACCTATAATTTTTAATTTTTATAATTTTGCCCTTCATTAACGAGCTCTAACGAGCTACTCGAGTATTTACTCGCTCGTTAACTAAACGAGCATGTTTCGAGCTCGAGTCTTAACGAGTCGAGCTCTAACAAGCTTTCGAGTTATTCGATTGACTTAACAGCTCTAACCATACGTAATAAGTGGAATCGAAACATTGACCCCTAGTCAAGGACCCAAATAGCTAACCAGCGAAGTATCCGCTTGGGGGCTTTTTTGTTTGCAACATGGATGCAATAAAAATTGTAAAGGAAGCTATTACTACTAATTCAAAGGGCAATTAAATTTCAAATGATAAATGAAAAACTTTTACAGATAGTTAGTTTGGATGTTGAGGATAGAAAAGAAAATAAGAGAAAGGCTTATAAGGAAAAGAGAGGATAAGAAAAGAAGAGAAGAGATTTTAATGATATTTGTGAGTTTGTAAAAGAAAAGAGATGATTATAAACATATATGTCAATAAAATTTCATTCAATAGCATTTTAAAGATAGAATGCACAATTTAAAAATTTTTTAGGCTTCCCCCAACTTTCCTTCATTTTCTGCATGATTTTGGATGGAAATTTTTTTTAAATTGTAGAGGGCATCTCCATCGTCCTAAATCAAATCGGCTTCTTAAACATTCGAAACACCTAACTTTTTTTTTCCCTTCTTTTTTTTTTTTCTGTTCAAATCTTATCTCCCAAACTAGTCGTAAAGCTGTTAATACTCAAACGAATGGAAACTCAAGAATATTAAAAGTTTTGTGTTATATATTTAGGAAAACTCAATAATTACTCATCTGCATTTTGTTCGATTTGACTGAAATTTTATTTTACAAAATTTGTCCATTTGGGTAGTTGTTTTCGTTTTTTATTTTTAATTTTAGAAAAAATTTTATTGTAGCGCATTTTTAAATATATAAGTGTGTCTGTAAGAATTTTTTTTTTTTTTAAAAAAAAAAGAAATAGTGAAAACTGTTTGAGAATTTTGAAAACCCACGCCTATCCAAAATAGATATATAAAAAATAAGAACGAAACTAGTTGCTTTGCAAAAAATTGTTAGAAAATAAGAAATTGTAGCTTTAAGTATGTACTACTACTACTTTTTGCGCTCAAGCTCAGACATTTTGGGCCCGCCTTACTGTGAAACTACTAGCAAAGAGTGGCAAAAACTCTCACGGGAAAATCTTAAAGAAGGGGAAGTACGATTGGGATTTTCATCCAATTGGTAAAACTTCTTTAAGTAGATTAGATGTTGTACATTTACAATCATAATTTTATTAACTTATTGAGTTGATATATAGGAACAAAATTACGTGTGTAACAAAAATATATACTAAATCAGGTAAAAAGTACAACAACCATACATTTGTATTAACCCTCCTCCTCCCTGAAAAAATACCAAGCCGAAGCCGGACAAATTGCAACTGTTGATTCAAAACTTCATCACAGGAAAGGTCGACACATTATTATTGGCAGCAGACTTGCATAATTACTACGGTTCTACTTAATTATTCATCTTTTGTTTCTATTCCTTTTTCTTCATGCATTTCATGTTCAATCCGCATGAATTGGACTGCGACCATGCATGCTGATCAAGATTTGCATCTTACATCCTTTGTCTGCCTTTTGATTTGTATTGTGAGGTCTCTATGTATTTTTCTTTAGATCAAATTAAGCAAATGCCGCTTAACTTCTATGCATACCCACCGAATGGCTTCGTTTGGATTAGCTGTTTTCCGGTGCTTTTGAAATATTTTATTGTAACAATTAAATATTATGTATAGAAAAAACTTTTACAATAAATGTTTTTGGGATATACTTTGATATACTTTTAAAATTTAAAAATATTTTTTTAAAAAAAATTAACACATCACTCACAGCCATCATCGTCATCACTCCATCCCTCTCCTTCCTCCTCCTCTCTGAGATCTATTACAACTAGCACTTCGGATATATGTGTGGTGCCAACCTAAATACTCGACCTAGTAATTGTAGCTTGTAAATTCAAACATACATATCATTAGTTGGAAGGAAAATATCATCAAGATTACAAGGCGTCGTAATAAACCATTGATAATATAATTTAATGTTCTATTCTGTCACTCTAATATTAACCTAATCTCTGAATTAATTTTAGAAACATTCTACTACTTATCCTGAAAGTGCATACTTTCAAATGTTTAGAGGTTTTGTCCTAGTTCAAAATGGAATACTATCTAAAAATTCAAACCCGTAAATCACTACTAGTAAATAGCAGTCGAAATTGGAGCCTCTCACCGTCACATTAATTCAAAATTGAAGAAAAGTGTATCACCAACCCTTTTTGACTTTCTTATAAGAGAAAAAAAAAAACTGAATCTACACGTTAGCATGCACCAAATGATTGCAAGCTTTGAACTCCGTCCAAAATGTCACCGCTTGCAATTAAGCTTTAATGGAAAGAAAGAAAGAAAGTTCGGGGAAACAAGAAAGAAAACAATTTAGGAGCCGTCCTTGCGCACACAGAGTTGAAACAGCAGCATAAATGATATTGATACTGCCGCTAAAACACAGGATGGATATGCTGCATAGTTACCCGTCGTCTTGATCGGTGGTGGTTTATGGTGTGTTTGACTTATAATTTTTCAGAGAGTACGTTTTTTTCGTGAACACATTTTCAAATCATTTTTTATATATCATCAAATCTGTTATAGAATTCATACAAAGATTTAATCCCTTTCGAATTTTCTTTGTACTCTTTAAGTCCCCTCCCTCCTCTAGGGTATAGAATAGAAATAAGTCTAGAATAAATTCTATAGCATCCCCAACCAAAAAAAAAAAAAAAAGAACGAAGGATATGGTGGGCTCAAGACACACTACCATGCACGCACGGTGAAGCCCGTGAAGATAGCTCTATAGTAGTAGTATTTGTTTGAACTCAGAAGTGCTTTTGTGTGGATTCTGATTGGGTTGGTAAAGACTTGGGCGCATAAACTACTGAATGAGAAATTGTCAATTAATGTCCTCAGGTTCAATTTTTGATAAACAAGAACCAATATGATAGTGTAGTTCAAAAACGCGAAATTGAGATTAGTTTTGATACCCAATTGGATCCCAACCACAAGTTTATGCAATGGCCCAAATTTTGAGCAGCAGCAGCATTGATTGTTTTGTTGCTGCCCCTTGGTCCTGGAAAATACTAAGTAGTACTACTACTACTACCTTAGACTTAGATGAGTTATTTTTTTACCAAAAGAAGAAAAAAGAGCAGAAGCAGCTAAAAAACAAAAAGCGAGACGGATGGTGCAAATTGAGCAAAGGGCTTCTCGTCAAAGGATGCGAGCAGCAGCAATGAGTCTTTGAATTTGCTTTTGCCATCCCAAACAAGACAAACACACAGTAGAGGGATGAGAAAGCCTACATCCTTCCTTCCTTCCTTGCATATACATATATCTCTATCAACAAAAAAGAAAAATATTTTGTTGGGAGCATATAATAAGGTGACAAATAGATCACTCTAGAGAGAGAGATAGGAAGATGATGGATACATCGAGGATGATGATGATAGATTTTTGACATAAAAGATGATGAGCAGCAACAAGAGCGTGCACAGCAAAGCAAGAAGAAAGGGCAAAAAAGAAAGAAAACCAAACAAGCCACATCATTCTTTCTTCAAGTTTCAGCCCCCACCCCACCCCACCCTGGGAAATAAACCGCCCATGTCCTTGTCAAATCCACTCGGTCGGGGGAGGTGCTGCTGCTAACCATTACTTGACTCCTCCTCCCCCAGGCCCCAACCAGCCCCTTTGTCTCTCTCTCTCAAACTCGATGGATGGAATGGAAGAAAGAAAAATTACTCCTACAACTAGAGTAGAAAACCAAAGCTTGAGGAGCTAACCAAAATAAATATATGTTTCCATCTTCTACTGTTACACTACTGTTTTACCCTCTAGTCTCTTCGCCAACCTTCTTCTTATCTCTCCACAGAGTCTTCCTCCAAATCTTCCTTGCTTTCCATCTTCTTCTCCCCCCCGTCTCTCTCTACCAAGTTGTAGTAGTAGCATTAAGTGGAGCCTTTGGTCTTTACCAGAGCTTCCTTAGTTTCCAAGTTCACCCACCTCCCCATCCCCCACACCATCTGCCATGCTCCCATGCCCCTGTCCCCCAGCCTCCCCATATATTTATATATATATATTATATATATATATATATATATAATAGCAGTAGTATTCACTATTCACACACAACCACATCTCGTTTCCAAGTCATCTGTTCTTTTATCACCAAGCTATATAGGGAAAATTCCTGTCCAAATCCAATCCCCTCTCCCGCTTCCTTTACCAGCTTAGGCCCTTTACTTGCCAAGTCCCACATCTCTCTCTCTCTCTCTCTGTGACTCTGTGACTGTGTGTCCCCTCCTTTCTCTCCTCTCCCCCATCCTTTTATTCATTTTCTTGAATTGATCTGCCCTTATTTTATTGATTTCCAATATAAAATCCCAGTACACTATCCAATCATCCCTCCCTCCCTGTTTCCATCATCATTAATAATACTACTAGTATATAAGAGGTGGTATATTTTATACTCCAGAAATAAGCCCTCCTCCACACAAACAAAAAAAAAAAAAAGAAAAAAAAAAAGTATTCAAGAAATATAGGGCGAAAAAAATGAAGGGAGATTATGTAAAAGAGGAAAAAGATGGTCATTCCAACCCCATGTTTGCCAAGCTCCATCAGACCCAAAAATTCCTCCACCACCCTCCGCCGCCTCAGCCCCAGCCCCACCCCACCACCCTCCTCCACCACTCCTTCAACCCCCGGAATGCCAAGCTTCCGAAGAAGTCGACAGCCACCACCGTAGCCCCACCACCCCTTCCGCCAGCGCCGCCACCACCTCCAAGACCCAAACATTAGTAACACCATCCTCGGGTAACGATGGGCCACCATAGAGGTTGTCCGCCGCCCCCGAGGCCGGCCACCTGGGTCCAAAAAACAAACCCAAGCCTCCCGTCATCATTACCCGTGAAGCGGAGCCTTCTATGAGCCCCTACGTTCTCGAAATCTCCGGCGGAGTAGACATTCTCGAAACCGTAACGACCTTCTGCCGCAAACGCAGCACCGGATTGTGCATACTAAACGGCTCCGGCACCGCGTTTCCAACGTTACTCTTCGCCAACCTTCCACCCCCCAGGAGCTAGCGTTACTTTCCATGGCCGTTTCGATATTTTGTCGCTTTCTGCAACGATACTTCCGCCGAATTCTCACTCGTTTTCGACTTCTGCAGCATTAAGCAACGGAATATCTAATGGGTTTACTATATCTCTAGCCGGGCCGCAAGGGCAAGTCGTGGGAGGAACAGTTGTGGGATCGTTGTTCACAGCTGGACGGTTTATTTGATCGCGGCGAGTTTCAATAGCCCTTCTTTCCATAGATTGCCGTTGGAAGACGAGAGGAATTCTGAGTCGGCTGCTGCAGCTGCAGGTAGCGAGGGGCCTACGGTATCCGGAGGAGGAGGGGCGGTGATGGTGGTGGAGGACGGTCGCCAGCTCAGGGGGGAGGTGTGGATTCTTGCAGTGGGGTTTCTTTGTACAGTTGTCACTTGCCTTCTGACGTGATCTGGGCTCCCACAGCCAGACAACCGCAGCAACATCCACCGCCTTACTGATGACGAGTAATTTGTTCAAATCGATGTGGGCGTGGGTTCTTCTCTTTTTCGCTTCTTCCCCCGACTGATTACTGTCTGATCATGGTAATATGAACAACGTTGAGAGGCCTTCCTCGTCCTCGCTAGTTTAATTTCTACCAGCATAATCTTTGTTTTGAAATCTTTCCTTCCTGTGTACTTATGCCTTGCTTATCATTTACCACTCTTATGTAGGGTTGGCTAGTTTTTACTAGTTGTTTCGTCTTAGTTATGAGATGGAAATGAATACTCTCACTAAATCCGTTAGTTGCCTGTTTGTAACCTTTTTGTTATCATCACTTTCCTTCTCTCTTTGATGAGGTGAATTGAAATTTCCGAGTTTTTAGAAAATTTTCAAATGCATGGCTCATTTTTTCGGTTTTTATTTTTGGTTAAATGTTGAGGAATTTGCATGAATGACATGAAAAGATAAAAGTTTTGAAAACATACAAATGATCCCACGATGCGGTATGGGAGTATTGATAGGGATTCCTTGTTAAGCCGTAGGACGGGACCTTTAAATGCTAGTCAGTACTCAGTAGTCGTTGGATTGTAGGATTGTAACCAGGAAGTCTTGGGGAATTTAGTAAGCAAGAATAATAAATTGAGGTGTAGTAATGGTGGGACGTGGGAAAAGAGAGGGGAAGTTATTTGTTTGTGGATGGGAAAGGTTGTGGTTTATGGGGTTGGGGGATTGCCTTGAAATAAGAGAACAGACCATCATCATGTTCTTGTGCCTGCTGCTGCTGCTGCTGCTAAGAGACTCTGAGAGCTTTTTATCTGCTGAGCAGCAAGTGCTGAAAAGTTTTTTCAGAGGGCTCCCTCTCTTTCCTCACTCTCTTTGCAATTTGCTTTAGCTGCTGCTGGCTGCAAGTGGCAATAACTGGCTCAGGATTGTCACACAGCCCTCCATGTTTCCGTCTTATTGATTTGCCGTAACCTCTCATCCACCCATTGAGCAAGCAAGTAACTTCATGATTTGGATAAAAGTGCCAGTGCTTTCACTGCTCTACTGTGTTGCAGTGGAAAACGTGGCTAGGGCGCTAGGCACAAGCCTACCCTAGCGGAAGAGTTTTCTTTTCAGAATTTTTCAGAATGCAGGAGAGATAGAGAGAGAGAGAGTGCGTGTGACTGTGTGTGTTTTGAGGGATGGATAGATATTTCATACTTCTATTAGAGAGTAATAAGTCTTGTGTGATCCCTGGAGGAGAGGGGACTCAAAGGAGTGGAATGGTGCTTTATCCGATATGGTGGTGGCGGTGATGAATAAAAGCTTTCATTTCATTTCAAACCTCTCCTTTATTTTCTTCCGTCCCTCTCTTTTGCACTCTGATCACTCCTGTACTTTGGTTTGTCTCTTTCGGTGGTCCTTTCCTTTCCTTTCCTTTCTCTGTGATTTGATCAAACAAAAAAACAAATGGAAATCACGAGCGACAACATTTTATTCAGAGAAAGAAAAAGAGAAAGGTGGTAAAAACCTAGAACTGGCTTTGCCCTTCTTCTCGAAACAACATTTTAGTTTGTTTGGATAAGAGTTTATTTGGATGATTTATTTGAGATAATTATTGTAGCATTTTTTGTGATGTGATGTGATGTATGTGAGATAAAAAGTGATTGAAAAGATAAAAAGGTGATTGAAATTTGTGAAGTAAATTTTTTATTTGAAATCAAAGTTGTCCAAACAAAGGAATTATTATTTGTTTATTTCCACTCGGTTAATTAATTAATTATGGATTATGTAAATGAATGAATGTAGTAGTATACAATAATAATTATGTAACACGATCAGAGACTGACATCAGAGGAATAATGTAGTTTACTTGCATGTACGGCTTGCTATGTATAAATACAAGTACTTCGGTGTGTTTGGATTAGGAAGATTTGAAATAAAAAAATTTACTTCACAAATTTCAATCATTTTTTTATTTTTTCAATCAATTTTTTATCTCATATACATCATATCATAATAAGTGTATCATATCACAATAAGTGTTAAAGGAATTTTCTCAAATAAATCATTCAAACAAACTTATATGTGCATGTTAAAAAAATATCTTAAGATGAAATTGTGACCTGATTAATAATCATCGATTGAAATTTGTGACACGTGGCATTATATAAAAAATTAAAATTAGTTTTTAATGCCTTTTAAATCTTCACCAGAAATATGCAATTACAAACTCAAAATAAAAATTTTGTTGAATGGAATTTTCTATTGGGAAGGTTGAAAGACACAAGAAAGAGAAAAAGAAAGGAAAACAATTTCATCTTCTAATATTTTCTTGAGAATAAAATGAGAAACTAGAAAGGAAAGAGGAAAATTCAAAATTAAAAGAATTGAATGGCTAAAAAAATTGTATTTTAGGAAAGTGATTTGAATATTTTTTTAATCATTTAAGGAGGAGGTAGATCTCTGCAATCCCTCTTTTTTAATTTCAATCATTAAGGTGAAGATTTTTGTGGGAAAGAGGAAGAATTAAATAAAGAAGAAAGAGAAAAAGAAATAAAAGAAATGAAAACAAGGTAAATAAAAAGTCAAAATAATGTAAGGGCAATTTTGTCCTAAAGGGGGTTAAGTGAGTAAAATTAAAGGTTAGGGGGTAAACTGAAAATGGGATATGTGATTAACCCTTATTTATTTGCAAGTCACGGTGAACCCTAGTTCTTTCTTTCTTTCTTTGATTATGATTATAATATGCTACTGTTAAGTGGATGCATTTCGAATACGGACATTGCTGTAATGTCTTGGGTCATTATTATTGTTATTAGGGTAAAAAACAAAAAAAAAATTTGTGGTAAACCTAATACACAGAAAAATCCTCCATGGTTTCAAAATATACAACACAACTCCTTATGTTTTGAACTAAATTGTAAAGGTGACGGAATCCGTTAAACTTAACGGAAATGGACGAAATGACCAAAATGCCCTGATATAATTAAGTAAAAGACAGTTCAAAAAATCATTTTTTTTATTTTCTAAATAGAGAGAATTGAAGGTTAACGGGTAGAATATGTATATTTGATAAAAATTAGGTATAAATTTTTTTTTAGGTTCCAATAAGTCATTTTTTTTATTCTAGTTGAGATGTCGTATTGTATATTTTGAAATCATAGGGGATTTTTCTGTATATTAGGCTTACCACATGGGGTTTTTTTATTTTTTACCCTTGTTATTATTATTAAGTAAAGGAATTGTAGGAATACATTAACCTTAACTGTTTTATTGCCTCTCGACAAAACAAATTAATGTGTGCCTCTACTCTCGAAATCATGGTCATGGTGACATAAACTTTATAAATTTAAATTCACAGTTTTCGTGGGCAATTCAATCTCAATTATTACAGCGTAGGACGTATTTTGCCATATTATAGAGCAACATTTGTTTGGATTGAAGATAATTTGTTTTTTTTTTAAGATGCGATGTATGCAAGTCGCAAAAATAACGTGTTTATAAAAATTATAAATTAATTATTTGATTACGTGTTTATGATGCAATAAAAGTTGGGGGTGAGGGTTGTTGGGGGAAGGGGTGGATTGAGTATAGATGATAAGGGAAGAAGGGATTATAAATCAGAGATTTTGGATTTAAGTCCTCTCATCAAAAAAAAAAAAAAAAGAAGAAGAAGATGTGACAAAAAGGCCTAGGGTGATTTTTATCATGAACATGAACAGGTACTTGTTGACGCAAGTCAGTACTTAAATTAAGTGAAGGCAAAATGAAGTTTACCTTGTGAATGATTTAACTAAAGAACAACAATGCCTGGCTAGTGAGTGACAAGTATAACATGTCTGGCTGCTTGATCTCTCATTTTCCCATCACTTGTGTCGGCTTGCAATAATCCCAAAATTAGATCGACCCATCCATGTGTTTTTCGTAATTCAATAAAAAAAAATTATTGTTGAAAATTCACCTTTTTCTATAAAAAAAAATTTCACCTCCTTTACTCGTTTAACAGCTGAAATTTGATAACTTTTACACTTTTTGTTCTAATACGACTACTAGTTACAATTTTCCTCTCATCTTATCATCCAAATCAATTTATCATCCTCGCAAGGTACAGTTCGAATTCTTTAAATTTGAATTAGATTCTCTTCTCTCCAAAGTCAACTTAATCATAGAGATGTCGAGAGTTCATTGCATGTTTGACTTTTTCTAGGTAATACATTATTACTTTTTCAAGTTCTCGAAAAAAATTGTTAATTTGAAACAGGAAAAGAACCCTGGAACGCGAAGGAGCCAACAACAAATCACTTTAGTGGCGTCAAGATTGTGCAGCGTACGAGCCGCAAATAAAAAGATTGCCTGTTCAACTAAAAAAGATAAAGATTGCCTGTTCAATTAGGTGTATATCAGTTTTTTTTTTAAATGGAAAAACGGTGAGAGTGAGGAAAATTAGAAGATTTGAACTTCTTTAATTCTTAGAGTTTTAAGGTGCATCCATTCTTTTAAAAGTACAAAAAGAACTATTATAGAGTAGTGTTATATGGGAAAAAATTCTTTTTCTTTCATCATAAAGATGTTTTGTTAAGCATCTTTTCAATTTTATCATCGTTTTTTTTATCTCATAAATTACTACTTTTCAAAAGTGTTACAATTTTATTTTCAAAATGTTTCCTACTAAAGTTCAATCCATTTGCGTCTAAAGATCAACATTATACGAGAATAAAAAGTCATTACGCGACAAACTCGAAATTGTTGATATATTATAATGTGTTTGGATATCAAATTTTTTTAAAAATATTATTTTACTTGCATCACAAATGCATTTTTCAAACACTTTTTAATGTTTGACGCACATTATATCACAAAATACAATAATTTTGATCACTATCTAACCATTGTGGTCTGATCTGCTTTGGTTACCATAATCAGTCTTGAGATAAGGAGCGAGTCTTTGGTATAACTCATTTTTAAGCTCATAGGGGTCATCTCGAATTCCAACTATTTATGCATGGTTTCCTTGTTCTAGATGGAAAATTTTGGTTCCCGTAATTCAGCTATCGAAGTTTTTTTAGATCCAAAACAGTACTAGTGAAAGATTCTATTTATTGGCACATAAGAAGGTTTTTCACCTCACTCTCTAATTTTTACTTTCTGTCGTGCGAGTAAATATTATTATGTAAATTGATTCTACTCCAATTTATCAGCATGACCCAACAACACTTGATACTCTCGTGGGACAAGGGGTTGCAACCGTCCCGCGGTTTTGGTCATTTTCAACAACGCGTAATTTTGGTTGCACGTGGCGTAACTTTATTTATACAATGTGTAACTTTAGTACAAAATTTTGCGAGTCCCACACACGGTGTGAAAATCGATGGATGCACAACTTGTGATCTGAGTCCCACACACGGTGTGAAAA